CATTTAGCCAAGCAGGGTTTTCTATTCTCCTCTTAGACCAGGCATGATTTGGAGGAGCCCCTGCCTGAGAGCCACCTGTGTACACACCAACTGTTGATAGACACCTCATTTATCTAGTGGCAGAATCACTTTGAATGGTGCCTGGAGTTTCCAGTCAGACAGGCAAACTGACTCTAGGGTAAGGCGTTTCCTAACTCCTTGGGTGCCTGACTTGGAAAGATTGTGCACATAGTTTGTCAGGACACAAAACCGTAGTTTCAGGCAGCTGTCACTCTGCATAGGGGGATCTGCTAAGACCATGAGCCTCACAGTCTGCACAAGGCAAAAATTGGTCACTGTGTTCCACAAATTTGAGAAAGAAAGCTGTAGTTTAGATAACCCAAGGCTGTGTAAAGCTCTCACTTTTCGGGGCCAGCAGGTAGCGTGGTGGTTAAGGGTGCTGGACTCCCCCGTGGCTGGCCTTGGTTTGAATCCTGGACCTGGTGACTTGCTTTCTCACTTTCTCTCTTTCTTTCACTCTCTCTCTCTCTGGTCAAATTAAAAATAAAGTTAAAATAAAATAATTGTTTTTAAAAAAGCTCTTTTCAGATTTGCAACTTCACAGATATTTCCTTTCTTAAAATTGAGTCATGAATACAACAGGTGTACTCAACCCAAGGCACACAGCAGCAAGTGAATTTAATTTATTGCCATTGCATAAACATTGTGCCAGTTTCACAAAGTTGTTTAGGACATAGCACCAAGGAACAGAGAGACAAGAATGTATTATCAATAGTAACTACTGGAGATCAGCAGATGGCACAATGGTTACGTTGCTGGACTCCCACATAGTCGACTGCGATTCTAGTCCCAAACCCAGGTGCTTAAAACTCATGCCTGGTGCGTGTGTATGCATACCCAAAATCTTGAGAGGAGAATGGAGGAGAAGGCACTGTAGTATAGCTATCTTCCCTCAGGAGAGCGGGGTTGACTTTTCACTCTCTGTCTCTTTGTCTCTTTGAGTGCACCTACCCTATAGTAAAAATATCTCTAAAACAAACACACAAACAAACAAACTAGTAACTACTGATTATTGAGTACTTCCTAACTGAATATCTAACAATCACTGGAGGCATTAAGATCCCCATTTCACAAATGAATACATTTCTTAAGAGTTATACAGGTTAAATGCTCACCCAAGACAACATAGCTACATCTGATAAAAGTGTTATCAGATTTATCTATCTGTCAAGTTGGGGCTCATAACCCTGTGTATATTACACTGTGCCTTGCAGATAACTATTGGGTCATCAGAAAAGCCATGATACATTTTTGTGTAGAAAAACAGAAAAATGTGTCATGACTTTTCTGACAACCTAATATAAAGCAAGATGCCATTAGGAGCGTTTTCTGGAGTTCATTAGAAAGAAATGGGAAAGAGCCAGGGTCTTTCTGAAAGAAATAGAGGAGACAGTGAGTACAGGGGATTCTGTGGGGTGTGGAGAAGACAGAGAAGAGAGGCTGAAGAGTGGGAAGGTCGCAGGGAAATGATCCCAAGAACTGAATGAGGGAGGAAAATGACAGAAAGGGGCTGAGAGGAAACAAAAGGACTTCAACAAGGGCAAAATAAAGCGATTAACAAATGGTCCTCGGCCTGTAGACTGCCTGTTCCCAAGGTTTCACAGAAAATGTCTATCAGTAGAGAGAAAGATAGAGATTTATTAAAGTTTCCAAGGGCAAAAAGATAGTAAGCCTGTTTTGTTTAACACACACACTCATAAAATCACATCTGCTAGGCCACACTTTGAGCTGGTATTTAGGGGTTCAAAAATGGGACTTTCTTGCCAGGGAGCTCACAGTACCCTGACAGCCTGGCTGCCACGCTGGATTTTGGGGTCCCACTTATGGGATTCACTGTGTTTTAGGTCCATGCCCTCATTTTGATTGTTCTATGCGTCTGGCCTGCCTGATGTCTTTTTGTTGCCCACCTCTTCCTGTTTCCTTAGGAGAGCTATATTTCCTGGCCACCTCTTACCCAAGTGCCTATGCACCACATGGATCTATTTACAAATTTGTAGACCCCTCAAGGTAAGATTTGATGTCATTTTCTTCTCAGGTGCATTTTGTTGTTTTTTAAAGTGGTGTCTCACTGTGTTGGGAGCCTCCTGCCTCAGCCTCTGAATAGCTGGGACTACAGGTATAAGCTACCAGGTCTGGTACTTTCAAATAGGGGGTCTCTCTGTGTTGCCCAGGCCAGCCCCAAGCATAAGATCTTCCTGCCTCAGCCTCCCCCATGGCTGGGATTACAGGTATACACCACTGTGTTCAGCCTTTAGGTTGGACCAGGAATGGAACTTGGACCTTCCATGTAGTCCCAGACTGTGAAGCATGGTGTCTCAGCTGCAGGCTTCAGTTGCTGGTCCTCAGGTGCCTTTTTACGAGTCCTTATCTCTAGAGTAGATTATAAAGACAGTCTTCATTCTCTCCAAGTTACCAAACACTATTAATGAAAAAAATGTGTGCTTCAGTGAAAAGCAGTTTGGGCAAACAAATGCATAGAATAATGTATCTATAGGAATTATGCAATGTTTGGGAAGTGGTCTCTTTGCAGTTGGAGATGAGAATATTGAATCTTCTCAGATTGACTAGTCTAGGCCTGTGGTTCCTCTCTCTCTCTCTTTCTTTCTTTCTTTTTGGAGAGGTTTTTGCTATACGGTGCATGTGCTTGCCAGAAAGACAGAGAGACAGGAAGTGAGAAATCACCCTCCAGGGGGAATGGCCATGCTGCAATTTCTTTTCCTCCATTTTCCTCTCGGGATCTTGGGCACGCACACACATGTACCTGGTGTGAGTTTAAGCCACTGGGTCCAGGACTCGAACCATAATCGACTACATAGGAGTCCAGTAACATAGCCATTACACCAACTGCTGGTCCCTATTTCTAAAAATATGTTGGTAGGAAATTCATCTGAGATGATCTAATATGGGGTGTATCCCTCTAAAGACTTGAGTAAATATTGCTACCCTGTTTCTTGGGCTTGATTAGTTTCGAGGGTCTTTGGCAGATACCTTCAACAAGGTTTCTCAGCATCCCACTTGACCTTTTCTGGAATTCAGTGGCAGGATCCTTTACACTTGGAGATATGCTGTTTCTTCTGCTTCTTTGCCTACCTCTCTCAGAGGCTAACTGACCTCCAACAGAGCAGTCAAAAGCCTTAGAATAACTTCCTATCTGTGAAGCTGTTGAGGCTATGGTCAGCCTCTGCCCTGGGAAGCTGATGTAGTGTATCACCTTGAAGAGTCTGGGTGGTGCACTGGATTCATCTCAGGGTTTTTGCCCAAAGCAAGAAAGTCTCCCCCTGAATTAATTAGCTTACAAATAGACCTACAGAGGAAAACTTCCCTGGGGGGCTTATTCCACTGTGTCTGTGTTGCTAATCAGTAGACACTAGGCAAACAGGTCTTGCCACTGGTCAGGGCTCAGGGGCCAGGGCCAGCTAGGCTTGTTTTGTAACAGGATTCTTGGTCTATGAGTTCTTAGAATTCTTGGAAGAGGCTCAGCCCCTGAGGCTGTGCCTGGGGTGCTCTGCTGAGAGTGGAGCCTGAGTTCCCAAGGGGAGAGTTTGGAACTGGGCTGTCTCTACCACTGGGTCTACTTCTGTCTTATCTCCTGGGCTTAGGGCTACACAGAAGCTATGATGGATCGAGGTCTTTAAGGAGCTTTAGATGGTTAACAATGCCTGGGTGGGGATTTTTGCTCTGTCTACCCACAGGCATCCTATGGGAATCTATTTTTTATTTTCTTTGGCAATTTCCTGATTTGGCGGAGGCAGGGGGAGTCGTTTAACTGCCCCCTTTCACAGAGCAGGGGAAAGAGAGGCCACATAGGAAGCAGCTGTAGAGCTTTTCTTACACCGAAGCCGACCTTCCTCCTTCACATTTTCCTCGCGTTGACACCTGCTAAGTCCTGAGTGCAGCAGGCACTGGCTTGGCGCTGTGCAGCAGGCTCTCCTGGGCCGCCTAGGCAAGTCAAATGCCTCACCCAAGGTTCTGCTGCCTCAGGGGCTCAGCATGGGCACTCAGATCACTGCCCACGAGCTTCAGCGATAATTACAGAATTATACAGACTTCTTCAAGCTTCTGGAGCAGTGAACCGGGTTCCCTTTTCATACTTATCCAGACCATCTGCATGAAAGGTGCCACACCAGGCACGCTGAGGCGCAGCCGGTTAATTTCTGTGTTGTTTCTCCCTTCCTGTCTTTCTCATGCCCTACCTTTAGAAGAAGCTAAATACGGTGATGGAGAAAATGAACCGTGGAGCGTGGGTCTGAATCTTGGCTCTGCCACTGACTAACTCTGTGACTTTGGGCCTGTTTCTGAGACTTCATGTTTCTTAGTTCCCCCTCTGTAAAATGGGATGATAATAGGGCCGACCTCACAGGGTTGTTAGGAAGAGCCAATGAGTTAATGTTTACAAATTATTTAGTGCCTAAGAACTACCCTGGTGTTTTCCTGTTTTTCCACTGGGGTGGGGATGAAGGCAGTAAGAGGCAGAGTCAGAGGGAGGCAGAGAGGGCTGTGGGGACTGGTTGAGAAGGTTCAGCCCTGCTCGGTGCAGTAGGAATACCCCGAGTATCCAAGGTCCCCCTTAGTCTAGATGTACCCAGGACACAAGCAGTTTGAGAACAAATGTGCTACCAGGCAGAGAGGCTGGCATTACTTAAGGGCTGTGCCTTGAGTTCCTGAAGGAATTATCTTGAAAGGTTACCACCAGCAGCAACACCACAATCAGAAGCAGCAGCAGAATTATTATTGTCATTGGGACCAGCAGTTAGCATAATGGCTATGTCGCTGGACTCCCATGTAGTCAACTGCGGTTTGAGTCCCAGACCCAGTGGCTTAAACTCACGCCGGGCACATGTGTGTGCGTGCCCAAGATCCTGAGAGGAGAATGGAGGAGAAGGGATTGCGGCGTGGCCATCCCCGCTGGGGGGTGATTTCTCGCTTTCTGTCTCTCCGTCTCTCTTTGTCTTTCTGGCAAGTGCACGTACCCTATAGCAAAAACCTCTCCAAAAAAAAAAAAAAAAATTATCATTGTCCTCATTATCTTCTGAGCATTTCCTATGTGCTGGGTTTTGTTCCGTGTGTGTGTGTGTGTTAAATTTCATTTTATTTCTAGACAAACTAAGTCTGGCTGCTGCTTTTCATGGTCGATGAAATGAGAGGCAGGGGCTGGAGAAATTATTTCTATAACAGTTACATGGAGGAGGACAGCAAGAACCATTAAACTGTTGCAAAGCGCAGCAGGTTCTTAGTATTTACAGATAGAAGATCCAAACATGTGTGAATCATTCCTTACTACGCTCAATCCACTCAATCGTTGTCTCCCGAGTAATTATCCTGATTCCTTCAAATCCCCATTCCTGGTTTCTCATCTGACCGTTCCTCAAACAGATCCCGCCATGACTCAGCATTTCCTCAGATTGTCTTGTTAGAGGCCTTTCTTAATTTCAAAATGTCTGAGTCCCTCTAGCCTACTTCAGTTCTTTATGAATCAGTTGCGGTGTGCTGGGTACAGAGGTTTCACTTACTCTTCACTATCTGCAAGATGGGATACTGTTGGGTCATTGGAAAAAGGTCATAATACATTTTTGCATAGAAAAACATGTCATGACTTTTTCAGAGACCCAATATTGTTTTCTGCATTTGATAGATGTGAAATTGAGACTTAGCAAGATTTACCTGTGCCTGTTCTCGAGGATTTGAACCCAGATCCATCTGTCTCCAGGCCCCGTCTCCTAACCCTCTCACAGTACTGTCTCTGAAGTGCCCGTGGTGCCTTGTAAAGCCCACGCCCTTCCTCCTCTCTGTCTGAGCCCACGAAAATTGCTAGTATTGTACGTCAATCCCATCCCCACGGATAAAGTGAGAGTTGAGACCGCTTTTCACAGATGTTTGCTTTCAGGTGACCTTCATTTCCTGGCTGCATCTTCAGAGTTCTGTGTCCTTACCCTCTTTGTCTGTGTTTTTAGGCGAGCACCCCCAGGGAAGTGCAAATACAAACCAGTGCCGGTGAAAACCAGGAGTAAGAGGATCCGGTTCAGGCCGCTCGCCAGTGAGTCCAGCTTTGAGTCTTAAGCTCGGGCTTTTGTGTCCAGGTGCAGGTGGATACCTCCAGCACACACACTGCCGTCCCGGGTGGGTGGTCCTAGTTTCTCCATTAAAAGGAGGATTGTTCCTTGTGGCTTAGTCTGTACCTCTCCTCTGTAGAACAGAGTGCTTCTACTATGACCCGTTGTCCTCTAGTCACTCCTTCCCTCATTCAGTCTTCCATGTGTTCAGTCTCTTGGCATCGTTCATTTACATTTACCTCATGGCGGGCTCTGTGCTAAGCCTCCGGGATACAGCAGTGAACCCTTAAAACCTCGAACCAGCAGTTCAGAGTCCGATGGAGGGGGATGTGGGCAGTGCAGAAAAATAAAGAAATAAATATGTAGGCACTTCTGAAAGTCCATGGGAAATGTATACTTTGAAAAAGCTATACATGGGTTTTGAATTTTTCTTTTTGCACCATAATAACATTTTAATTCTATTTTTTCATGACCTTTTTTTTTTTTTTTTTCTTTTTGGAGAGATTTTCACTGTAGGGCGCGTGCGCTCGCCAGACAGACAGAGAGAGACATAGAGACAGAAAGCGAGAAATCACCCCCCAGGGGGGATGGTCACGCCACAATCCCTTCTCCTCCATTCTCCTCTCGGGATCTTGGGCATGCACGCACACGCGCCCGGCGTGAGTTTTAAGCCACCGGGTCCGGGACACGAACCGCGGTCGACTACGTGGGAGTCCAGCGACATAGCCATTATGCTCACTGCTGGTTCCCAACTTTTTGAAGTTCCCTCATAGAACATAGAGGTTCTGGCATGGAAGTCCAGGGTACTGAGAGGGCCCCTAAAGTGAGGAATTCTTCTTCAGCAGGGTACGATGGGAGTCCGGGAAGACTTACAGAGGAGGGAGGCTATCTTTATTTCTTTTTGGAGAGGCTTTTGCTATAGGGTGCATGCGCTTGCCAGACAGACTGAGAGAGACAGAGAAACAGAGAGTGAGAAATCACCCCCCAGGGGGGATGGCCATGCCTCAATCCCTTCTCCTCCATTTTCCTCTCGGGATCTTGGGCATGCACGCACACACATCCGGCGTGAGTGTTAAGGCACCAGGTCCAGGACGCGAACTGTGGTCAACTACGTGGGAGTCCAGCGATATAGCCATTATGCTAACTGCTGGTCCCGAGGGAAGCTATCTTAAGGAAACTATTCCAGAGCCATCCATCACCCGAGTGACTTCATTAAAAATGCAAAAAACATTTTGTTCAAAGCCAGATAAGGGAATTAAAAAATATTAAAAGTTTATACTGTAAAACCTTCATACAGTTATAGACTTCCTGGTGGTGTTACCCTTCTAGCTACTTTTCAGGACTTAAATTTCTCACTAAAGAAATGTTTATTATTTTTCAGAGACAGTCTTGGACTTGCTAAAGGAGCAGGCAGAGAAAGCTGCTGGAAAATTATTGAATGTGACCTCAGCTTCCAGTCCAGATCGGGCCCTGTCTCGGAAAGGCCCCTCCAGGAAGCCGGCTTCTCCCACAGGCAGCAGGAAAACTGTGCGAGGGCCTGGTTCAAAAAAGAAAGCCAGAGTGCAGCCCCCTGCCACTCAGGGGAAGAGGAAGAGCCTGAAACCCCACCATGGTGGGATGAGGCAACCAGCACAGTGGCAGCGAGCCAGCAGAAGTCTCCCTGACCTTTTGCTCAAGGTGGCCAAACAGGAGATGTGAGAGAGGAGAACCACGCCAATGGAGGTAGCTGCTGCATGTAGACCTTAGAGGTCCAGGAGCTGGGATGGAGGTGGAGGGAAGCAGAGAGAGCTTGACTTAGGGCTGTGTGGTTTCCTCTCTCTGGGAATCTTGCTACCCGCTGAATGAGCAAATGCACCTAATCAGCGAGCAGTGTTTCTGCGTGGGGGTGTGTGTCACACATGGCCAGTGAGCCTGGGCTCTTCTGCACTGGTCTGTAAGCCTGCTGGCAATCCACTAGTATCTCCATGTTGTCTTGTCAGTGTCCATGACCTGAGGTCGTAAGTCCACATTTGCTTACATTGACACATGCTCTTTGACCTCCTGGCTGTTTGGCATTAGGAAATCTAGTATGCTTTACCACGCTTGCCTAACAACTGTACTTGACTCTCCTGCCTCATCCCAGGTCTCAGAGGAGGCCTGTGACAGGCTCCCAGGAAAAGCCCTCCCTTTTTACCCTGTGAAACGCTCATGAAGTGACCAAGACCAGGTTCAGCTCTGTACCTCAGCACCTACTATTTGGCCTTGGCAAATAGTGTAATAAACTTAACTATATTCAACTTCTTATGTGCTAAGTTTATGTACTTCATATTTTATAAAGTTTATTTATTCATGATAGGGAGACTGTGTGTGCACGCAAGAAAGAGAGAGACTCGGAGCTGGTCATGCTATAGTCCCCTTCCCTCAGCCTCTGGCTCATCAGGATCTTGGACGTGGGTGTGTGTGTTTCAGGCCAATGTGGCCAAGGAGCTGAACCAGCAGTTGGCCTTGTGGCTTCCAGAACTGCACCAACCATGCCACAGAGGCTGGGCCTATATACTTTATCTTAAAACCTCCAAACCTTGCTTTATATGCACTCCTATATAACCTCTGGAAGATGAAAATGAAGCTTCGTGAGGGTAAGTGGCTTGACTACGGTGATAAGGGGACAGGAAACAAGCAATTAAGTTGAACTCAAACAATGCCCCCTTTCGTCTGTGTGCTTGTCACAGAGAAGGATTATGGCTTTTGAACCAAATCCTTAATTCAAGGAAGAGAAGCCTTATCTTCATGAAGTTCTCCAAGCCATGCCAAACATCCACAACAGTGTAGGCAATTTGATTTAAGGAGAACAAAAGCAGAAAATACCAGGGTTGCTAAGGACTTTTAGAGGTCATGTGATTGCTGCTTTAAATCAGATGGGACATACTCTAGACAGATTTTTTTTTTTTTTTTTTACATCCCCATAGAGCAGTTTTTTATCTTTTTTCTTTACGTAACCTAAGCTAACCTAACCTATATTCATCAAACTCCTGATTCTTTTTCTCTTCTTCTGTCTTTATGAAAGATATAAGACACTGGTTATTATTTTCTGAAGATCATTTTAGATCATCCTTTTTTTCCCCTTTGTCCTTTCTCAGTTTTTGTTTTATGTAGTTTTTGTTTGTAATCGCCTACATTTGTAGTACTTACGAATACTTTCCAGGATGGAAATTTCAGGTCTCATCAACCCTGATATTTTACACTTTTATCTCCTTTTCAGATGAAGATACCTGGAGAAAGGTTAAACTCTGAATGATTTTGCTGAAAAATGGTTAGAATGGGGTCAGCAGGTGGTATGGTGGTTAAGGAGCTGGACTCCAACATGGCTGACTGTAGTTTAAGTCCCAGATCCTGAGGCTTGCTTTCTCACTTCCTCTCTCTGGTGAGTGCACATACCTTGTAGCAAATTTAAAAAAAGAAAAAAAAAAAAAAAAAAAATAAGTAATTTTAAAAAAAAAAAAAAAAAAAAGAAGTCTAAAAAAAAAAAAAAAAAAGAAAGGAAAAGAAAAGAAAAAGAAAAATGGCTAGGATTCCTGAGTCAGCTCAGGGAGATTGGACTTAACCCCTGGGCCAAATACTTATGTTCACTTTGCCTCATCTTGTCCATCAACTCTTTCTTTAAAGACATCTGGCAAAAAATAGTGTCTGGCCTGGAAGTGTTTGAGCTGGGGGAAAGTGCTCAGAAATCACATATCAAGTAAAGAACTGTACTCATCAAATTCCAGGCATTCTGAACACAGGAGTAGGAGGGTAGTGGGTGAGCCTAGAGAAGGGAACCAAACTGGACCTTCAAAATGCTGGGAGGCTGGGAGAAAGCCAGAATGCTCTTCTCTGACCAAGTGGCTTTCTGTTCTGGTGGATGGCTGGCAATGCCAGCTAACCTTTCTGGAAGGTGCAAGCACTTGTGGAAAGCAATCTCTAGGGTGCAGCAAAGGCAAAATGTGTTCAGGGTGTCGAAAGTTGAGAAGGTCAAAAAATACACACATGCAAGCGCTTACTCTTTTTAGATACCAACTGTTGTTGGGAGAATGGGGAGGATTTATGAAAACTGGTGACATACTGTGAGAATGCTTCAAACATCTCTTCATTCACTCTTTTCCTTGACCACTAAGTAACTCAGAGAAAGTAGTACTGGCACTAAGGTATGTGAAGAACTGAAATGGCTGTGAAGGCTGGTTTCAGGTTTAGCAGGACTGCAGCCATTTTGAAATTAAGAAAGGCCTCTAATGAGGACAGTCTGAGGAAATGCTGAGTCGTAAGAACTGCTTGAGGAATGGTCAGATGAGAAACCAGGAATGGGGATTTGAAGGAATCGGGACAGTTACTCAGGGAAAAGTGATGGATTCTGATTGATTGTAGCATGGAATGATTTACACATGCTTGTATCTTGTACCTATAAATACTAAGAATCTGGCGAGCTTTTGGAAACAGTTTGGTGGTTCTTGTGGACTGTCTCTCTGTAACTGGTTACAGAAATAAACTCCTTTCTTCTCCTGCCTCTGGTTTCTTGACCACGAGAAGAAGCAACTGAACTGACTTGGCTGGTAAGAGCTTTGCTAACGCTTTCAGTGTTAATGAAGTGCTGACCCTTTTGGATAATGACTGATGTGTCCGTCCGTCCTATTCCTCCAGGCACTCTGAACACTTCACCTCCATAGCTTTCCTAGCAGCAGATAGCCTGACTACAGAAGGGTAAAATACCCACTGAAAGTACGAGTGTTCTAGAGCTAAAATCTTGCAGGCTAAGACAGTTAGTCATGTTGCTCTCAAAGCTAACTGCTTCAGAGGTGTATTCTCCCCCCCTTTTAAAAAAGCAGTTTAAAATGGAACCAGCAGTTGGCATAATGGCTATGTTGCTGGACTTCCATGTAGTCAACTGTGGTTCTAGTTCTGGACCTGGTGGCTTAAACTCACGCTGGTCGTGTGTGTGCGTGTGTGCCCAAGATCCTTAGTGGAGAATGGAGGAGAAGGGACTGAGGTGTGGCCATCCCCCCTGGAGGGTGATTTCTCACTTTATGTCTCTTTCTGGCGAGTGCATGTGCCCTAGAGCAAAAACCTCTCAAAAAAAAAAAAAAACAAAAAACAAACAAACAAAAAAACCCAACCAAAAAAACGTTTAAAATTATACTTGGGAGATATTTAATTTCATCTCAGTGAATGCTCTGCTTACCGCTGGCCAGGTACAGGAGTGGCTCTAGGGAGACCCAGGATGAAAGAGATTTTGTAAACCATGGTTTACCTGGTGAGCAGAGGTTAAAAATAAACTTGAGGGGCCAGCAGATGATGTAATGGTGACGTCGCTGGACTTTCACATAGTTAACCGTGGTTCAAGTCCCGGACCCTGTGACTTAAAACTCACACTAGGCATGTGTGCCCAAGATCCCGAGAGGAGAATGGAGGAGAAGGGACTGTGGTGTGGCCATCCCCACCAGGGGGTGATTTCTTGCTTTCTGTCTCTCAGGTAAGTGTATGTGCCCTAAAGCAAAAAAATCTCGTTTAAAGAAAAAAAAGAAAAAAAACGTGGAAGCCAAGTGTCAGAACTCTGATTCCCTACAGCTGCACCAGCCAATATGAAGATACTGAAAGCTTCAAGTGGGAATCACTGATGTAATTTAAAATGTTTTGGGAGATACATTACCTCCCCCCCCCAAAAAAAAGAGCAATATTAATGGTAATTGTACTTTCACCCAATCTAATACATCCACGATTTTATCATTTCAACATGTAACCAATTAAAAACTACTGAGAACTACTGAGAGAGCTTTTTTTTTTTTCCTCTGGTTCTAAGTTTTATAAACCTGGTCTGTATTTTACTTCTTTAGAACATCTTAGCTAGGACTAGCACGAGTCAAGCACTAAACAGCCACGTGTGGTTCGTGGCTATATCTTACACATAGTCCTTCTAAAAATCTGGCCCCAAGATCTGAGAAAAGAAACCCGGGGTTGAGATGATTCACGTGTTGAGAAGACTCTTGGCACTCTTACCCGGTGACCGTGTAGTCATGTGAAATTCTGCAATTCAGGGGAGAAAAAAGGAGAAGCGAGAAGAGCTGGAAACACTGGTTTCCCAAGCAGCCTGGGCTGTTTATTTTTGGGAGTCACCCCCCTGCTTCCCGAAGGGGCAGGGCGTTGGAGCCAGGCTGGGTTCCGAGGCCGGGGTTGCCACGTGTCAGCCGCAGAGCCGGCTAGCGTCCAGGCCACGCTGGCTGGCCGCGCGGTCGGCTTCAGAAGGGCGTGAGGACGCGCATCCGTGGGTCTCGGGGTGAGATGTGGGGCGGAGCCACAGTGCCGCCCACCGGCCGCGCGGCGTAACTGCAGATGCAGGGCCGCTGGAGCCGCCTGCGGGGCCTGCGCGGCGTTCACCGGGAAGGCCGACCCCTCCAATGCCTTCTGTAATTCGGGAGGTAGCTCCTGTGCAGGGCGTGCATAAGCAGTTTATGGAGCCTCACGCCTTCATTTCATGCTCCAGCCCGCAGGTACAGGTAATGCGGGGCTTGGTGAGCAGGCTCCCCCTTCCTGCCTTTTTGTTGCAGCCCAGGATTTTCTCTTCCAGGTCACATTGAAACTGTATTAAAAATGCTTATCTGTATTTCAATAGGACTAGCGTTAATCTTGTCGACAGAATTTCACAAATCACTTTTTATGTAACCTTTACTCTATTTCATGATGTGGTAAAGACAGAAGCCAACAAGCGGTCTGGGAGAGTCAAATTCACAACCCCTGGTTAGAAGGCCAGTGGTCTAACCACTGAACCACAGAGCCACCTATTCTGGTAGAATTCAAAGGTACTGAAAACAGCATTGCTTGGAACCAGCAAATGGCATATGGTTACGTCGCTGGACTCCAAAGAAGTTGGTTGCAGTTTGAGGGTCCTCCTGCTCCCCTTAAAACTCACTCCGGGAGAGTACGTGTGTGCCCAGTATCCTGGGATTGTGGCGAGGCCATCCCCTACCCCTGGAGGGGGCGTGGTGTGGTGTGATTTCTCACTTTCTGTCCCTGGAGAGTACACATATCCTACATCTCTCTTAATAAAACAACAACAAAAGCATTGATGTAGTTGGCAGTCTGTGAGCATAATCCAGCTGTGCTCCTGTTACCAACGATGATTACCAATGATGATTTTAAAGACTAAAGATTTTGAAGTGTCCTTAGTCTCCCTGGTTTCCTCCTTGTCCCATTTCCTCTGGCCATTGCTCTGGGCTTTC